GTTCCACAACAAAACAAGATATCTCGAAAAATACATGAAATAAAAAATGTAAAAATATTGAAATATTGAAAGATGAATGCTATGCGCCTACATGACGTTAAAGCGGAATGACGCATCCACGCATTCATAGTCACATACATTTTTACATTTCAAATTATTTGCTTATTTTCAAAAAACCATGTCTTGTCTTTGATTTTTTTCATCCAATTTTTTCATTTCAGCATGTTTATACTGTTCCAACAGAATCTTCTTTTTCCAAACCCACTGCGTAAGACTTTAAACTAATAAGACTAACTTTTGGAATTGACTATGAAACTTTTCAGGTACTGACTCTTTATAGATTCAATGCAATAAATAAGAGCAAGCTAAAGAAGTTAATAAAGTAAACATATCTTCTCCTTTTTCTTTATTAAACGTCTTTATTATCATGTCAGCGTGATGGCTCTAACTAAATCCTGTCCACTCCCAACGTGTCTGAGTATTTCTTCTTACTTCTTTTCGCTGTTTCTGAAACTTTATCCATAAATAAAAGCGTTTTTTACCCACCAGGTGTTCTTCCCATTAAGTTCACTTCCACAATACGTTTAGGAATTTTTGACTATGGTATCCTAAACATATGGCGAAACAATTTAAGTTAGCGATAAGTAAGTCTCTTTTTATATTATCGTTTCATGTTCTATTATATCTAATTTTCCCCAAAATTATTTTTTGGTATTTATCTTTAATGTGTGTTATTTTTTAAAGTTCTTTGTCGCTTTCTGGTCAACGTTCTACTCAGTACAATAGATTTGGTTCAACAACTGTTTTGTATTTTCGGCAATAAGTGCTGTTGTATATAACTCATTTTTTGTACGTGATTTAATTGTTATATACTCCTCGATAGTTACTATCTCAACTGTCGGAAATATGTTGTTCGAAATTCTTGATGTGTCCTCTGGTATTGATATATGGTGTAGTGGCTACCAGAGAATTATAGGTCTCAATTTATTCTTCTTGAAAACTTTTGCAAAAGACACATTGAATCAGTTGCTTCATTTTTGGCATAGGCATAAGCTTTGTTTTTTCAATATTAATAATCATTATCTCGTCCTTAGGTATGGATCTTCATCGGTTTAATGTATTTCGATACTTTTTTTGTGTGTCTTAAAACAGTACTATATTGGCTAAGCATAAAAGAGCTTAATAGTATAATGGTTATATGCTTTTATGGTCTAGGTATTGTGTGTTGTGTTATTGTCTTATGTAACTATTATATCTATTAAAATAACGAAAAGTAAAATTCCTAATTGAAACCATTGCTTGACTCATGTTTAGAATTAGAATATTTTGCACATCTCTGCATTTATTTTAACTACTACTACTTGATTTATTATTCTCTTAGTACCGTGATTATGTTGTAGTACATCTCTTAATTGGTTGCTCTGTATTTCATCATAGGTCTACATCAGCTCTATGATTAATAAATATAAGCTTCACAAATATATCCTATGTTTGTCAGTGAGTCTTAAAAATCGTTTGTTGGTTTTGAATGTATTTCAACATTTACTTTTAATTTCAACAAGAGAGCCAATGAATTGGTTTTAATAAGCCACATTATGTTTTGTAGCAAACTGTATTAACTTAACTTAAAAATCGAACAATGAGATCGCAAAGGATTCTTCCCGATCATGCAATGATCAAAGTTTTAGATTAGCTGAGCCTAATTTTTCAATTTCCACGTAAGTGGAAAGAATGCTTTCTAAAAAATTTTTTTAAATTTTATTTTTAAATTTATTTTTGGTTTTAAGGGGTGTTAGTCGACATTTTATTTTATTCACTGGCATTTCAATTTGATGTAGAAGATGCAGAAGATTTTTACATAAGGTTACACATATTCCTCTGAACATTTCTATATAGTTCACAGACAGCATGTCATTAAATTTAATATTTGCTTAATTCTTATTAAGTCTCTAAAATTGATTTCACTATTCATTTTGGACTTGCACATCGTTTAATAGCATTTAATTAGCATCTCACTTCAAATTACTGTTGATAAAAGTGCCGCAAATACTTAAATAAAACTACAAACATCGTTCCAAAAGCAAGTAAAATCTAACACAGAAGATAAGAAAAAAACGAAATTAGGTTTTCGTACTTTAAGTGGATCAAATTTAGTTGTTTGTGAGTTTCTGTCGTACAGCATTTATTTTTCACTTGTAATCGTCGACGAAACATTTGCCGGTTTTTTTCAATGCCAACGAAATCGCAAGTGAATCGCGTAAACGAAAATAAAAGTGAAAAATGTTTTGTTTTGGAATTTTTACAAAATATTATGAAATTAATAATAAGTAAATATGACAATTAAAATGTGCAAATTTCGCTGCAGAGATAAACTATCAAAATATGTTACGAGATTTGGCAAATATCTGAAACACGCTGATGGCGAATAGTTAAAAGTACTTGCAAATATAATTTTAATTGAATTGGTTTCAATTAGACTTTGAAGATTTTCAAGAAAAATTAGCACGAGTTATAAGATTGTTTTTTTTTTAATTTCTAATCGAACATCGAAAATTTTCTTACAAAATCAAATCAGAAAACTATCCCTGAATAGAATAGTTATTTATATATATTAAATATATATATACATATATATATTGTATTAAGTATTTAATAAATATTATTATGTGTTTTATAATACCATAATTTTAAGTATAAATGCAGTGAAATATTTATTCGGCTTGCCGAATTAACTAAAATTTTAGTAAAACGTATTCCAAGCCATTTCGGAGACTTTACAGGGTTAAATATATCGAAAACGTTGTCGTGTATTGCCATTCTATACAGTAACTGCTAACACATATATATAGTGCTATTGTTGGTTTAAGCAAACCCACTGCTATTAAGATATCAATATATCAAATAGAAATGATAGAAATGATAGAAATGATATATTTAAAATTGGTTTTGTAATGGCTTAATTATGTCTATATTTTACAAAAAAAAATGACAATAAATTAAATCAAACCGCACCGATAGCCATAATTCTTATTAATTGAAGTTTGTGGCTTAAGTCCATTGTTTTTAAGCAATGTGTCAGTGTGAATGTAATTTAAAATAATTGAAAACAAAAGTGGCATAAAAATTATAATTTATAAATATTAAATACATGCACTTAAATATTTAATATTTGTTATTTTAATAATGAATACTATGTTGTATTAATGTTGAATCATTACATTAACAAAAACAATAGAAAACCAATACAAAATGTATACATATTTGGAATTACATATCTATATCTATATAGAAATTTTTGTATACATATATTTACATTTCTCTATAAATATGTATTTTTTTTTTAAATTATGATGATTTGAGAAATTAAATAAAGTTTATTAAACATATATATAATAAAAAATAAAATATTTTTATAATGAAAAATGAAATTTTTATTATTGTTATTACATATTCATTAAATCTTTATTATTATTGAATAAAACTATCACTAAAACAGGCCATTGTTAATCTTATAATGTTAATAAAGAATAACATAATTAATTAATAAAAAATTTAAAAATTCGGAAAAATATAAAAAAATTTGAGAAAATATCTAAACTATCTAATGAACAAGTGAATGAAATAATGATAATGGAATGCGCAGGACAGTAATAGTATTAATTTTAATTTGCTTTTGGGTCGAAAGCCTCTATTACTGCCTCATTTTGTACCACAGATAAATTATTTTGTTATATCTATGTTATATATATTAAATATATATTTAAGTATAAGTATATAGTTATATTTGAATTACTTACATAGCGATGTAAATTTTGTTGCATATCTTCTGTTTAAAAAGGTTATAACATTTTTTAAAATATTTTTGGCAACATTTTTTGTTTAGAACAATAATTTCATGAGCAATAATAAATGAGAAAAAAAAACAAAAAGTCAATGCAATTTTCGTGCTGTGGCTAAATGCTAAATGCCCCCTAGAGTTAGTCTAACTAATTGGAAGGCAAAATAAGATTGCAGTAGAGATACAAGCTCACTTCAAAGACCAAAACTTAAATAAAACAAAATAAAACAAGTATGAAACTAACAAATTCAGAAATTAAAGAAACTATTTTTTTTATATATTTCTTAATGGAAAAAAATTAACAATTTTTAATACTTGAACCGGCATTGATCTGACTCCGAAGTTAGTATTAGCACAGCCGCATAGGAGTGTGCACGCGAAACGCACGCTACGTTACGTACCGCAACGAACTTAAAACACAGAAGAGCAAGAAAACAAACGCAAAGACGACTACGAAATTTTGTTGATTTTGAAGTTGGTTTTAAATATTTTATGTTAAATTATAAATAAATTTGTAAAAACCAAAATTTAATCAATATACTTATGTTGTGCATTTAAGCGCGAGTGCAAGAGCTTCGGTAGTAAGTGTTGTATTTGTAAGAGTGGGAGTGGGAGTGGAGTGTTGCAAGCTCAAACACCCACCAAACGAATGACGAAGTATTTCGATTAAAAATTCGAACTAAAATTTTTGCAAAATTACAAATTGTCTGAATGGGAGTTATTCTAAAAAAATATATAAATAAGAAAACATCGAAGTTCTTTTGAAATATTTTTAAAAAACACTATGCTATTGCAATAGTAAAATTTTAATTACAATTAACTTTTGGAATTGAATATTGTTTGACTTAGAAAATAATAAAATAATAAAAAAATATTTAAAAAAAAAACTTATCAAATTACTATTAATTCAATTGTTACCGGTATTAGAATTGCTGCATATTACTAATTTTTGCTAAGTTAACATAATTTTCACGAATTAATATCTGTGCATAAATTTCAAATAAAATCGAAGAAAACAAACTGAGAAATTTAAAAACTTAGACCAAAACAGAAATAGACACTGCAGCTATCAAACTTTGAAATTAGGATTTTGCAAGATTTTTCACGCCACATTTCTGATATTTTGTAATCGTTTAAAATCGTCTAAAAAACACAAAATAAAGAAACTCGTATACATTTTTATGTTTTACATATCTTTTTTCGAAAAAAAGTAACAATAACTCACACAATCGAAATTGATAGAAGAGCTCAAAAAAGAATTAAGAAATCTCAAACAATATTTAGATTTCAGTGTATTTGTACTTTTTCTTTGAAATTAAACTATTGTTCACGTTTGCGCTTGTATGTGTGCATATGTGTCTTTTCCGCACAAGAAACACGCAAAAACCTACATATATGCAAAGGCTGTAGCAAAGAAGTAGCATAAATTTCATCCAAACAAAAGCAAAATACGAAACAAAGAAAATCCAAAGTAGTAAATCACAGAGAGCAGTGCTGCGCAAGTGTCCTTCAACAGTAACTTTGTTAACAGCAACAGTTACGGCAACAGCAGCAATAACAGCAACTAACCAGACAAATTATTACACCGTGATTTTGTGTGCTTTTTTGCTGTGGATTATCAGAAATTGACACCGTTTAATTTTTGACTGTTGTTTCTGCCGCAACAAACGTTGACAACCGAAAAATAAAAGCAAAAATTAGATACATCAATCGCGCAAACCAACACACAAACACACACACGTAGAGGGTATTATTTGAACAGAAAAACGATAAAACATTGTTTGAAAAACTCTACCGCCATGGATTCCTCAAAGCGAGAGCGAGTAAGTTAAGTTTCAGTACTTCTAAGCAAAATTAGAATATACAATATATAGAAAAATTAAGTATGCATTGAGGCTTGGTATTTTCAATATTTATCAAATGTTAGAAAAATAATCAACAAAAATTTACAATTCTATAACACATTCATTGTAATTCCAGAAAGATGAGTGTACATGGAGAATATTGAATATAAATTCGTGGATAATGATTTTATAAATTGATTAGCCTAAACCTTTTCACAATTGAACTATTAGATCACAATACATCCTAGATTGCGATGTACCATTATCCGTCCTTATAATTTTCAAGTTCAAGTTTTAAAAAGATTTATTAAAGCTTAAAAAAAATTTTATATTTCATTGAAATTATTTAGAATTATATATATTTTTAAATAGTTGAATTTAGTTGGATGATTTGGAACAAGATTCTTATTATTAAAGATGATAAATGAATCCTAATTATTTAAAAAATTAAAGTCTTCTGATGTTACTTCCTCTGAGAGTTTTCCTGTTTCAATATTTATTAATATTGCACAGTAGGGTAAGATATTCACATACTGTATTCGGTAGTCCATATATTATTATTTGTCAGAAACATCAATCATATTAACAAATATCTTGAGATTACAAAATTAAAACATTTAATAGTTGAAAATATTCAATATATAATTCAATTACTTTAGTAAATTGTGTTAAGGATTTTTTATTTTTGATTTTTATGCTTAAAGCAATAACTCAAAGCAAACTCTAAAAAAATAATTTCAAAATCTCCAACTCGATTTTTGTTTATTTTTATAAACAAAACTTTGCATAAAACACTTTTTGTCAATTTTTGAATAATGGCATAAACAAAATTTATTAAAAATTTTTTATATATTATTTTATTGACTTTTGCAAATCAAAATGACAGACAGGTCCGAATATTTACTAAATAGGGTTAAATATGTATAATAAAGTTTTTACGTTTATATATATATTAACTTTTAAATTTTGATGTGCAAATTTTGTGTAATAATTTTTTGTATAACATCAAAGGTCAAAGTCAAAATTTATCTACTTTGCATACAATTTACATAATTTACAAATTTTCTCTTATCGGTCAATAACACTGAATATAATAAATCCATATTTTTATATTTTTATGTATGAAAATATGAGTTTTTAAAAAGAGAAAACAATGAATTTAAAAAAGTAACAATAAAGCTATTTTACATTTAAAAAGCTTAAATAAAATATTTGTATATATAACATGTTTGAAATGTTATTGTTCTTAATAGGCCGTGTGCGAGTTCGAGTAAATCGATGGTAAATTGAGAGAAATAGTAAATTATGTCCGTAAGGCAAATTAGAGTAGGGTAAATTTGATACAAATTAGGTAAATTAGGTGTTACCATTGCGGAAATTTTATAAGATGTTTAATAAATGAATAAATAAATTTGAAAAGTTTTAACCAAAAATAATAAATAAATTCAATAAATAAATAAATAAATATTTACATAAGTGGAGTACAAAAAATCCCTAGGAAATTTCAATTTACTTTATCTCAATTTACTCGAACTCGCACGCGGTCATTATATGAAATTGTATGGGCCGATAAGTTGCCTGAGTTACACTACGACATCATACAGTACAGAGTAAGTGTTGATAGTTTTGAATTTAATTTTGTCTTGGCTGTTTCCAGCAACTTGAGGTCAACTCAAGTTTCTCATACTTCGCTTTTTAAACTTATCAATTTTTATACTTACGAGTATTCATTATTGATTTATTTATTTACTTATAAGCTTATTCAATTTATTCAATTTACGTAAGCTTATGTGTTAACAATAAATTTTAATAATTCTATAAAAATAACTATAAAAATCAAATAAAAGTTGATGTTGTAATGAGAATAACTCAAAATACTTTAGCCGGGTAAATATATTTTGGTTACAGCTCATTGCAAATCAACAAATAAGCTTTATACTCATACATTTTCATTTAAAATCAGCGTACCAAAAACTAAATCAGCAGTGAATGAGTTACATATTTTATTATGTGATTATTAATATAATTTATTCCACTGATATCACCTTTCATAAAACGCCGATCTCTTATTTAACATAACTTTAACCTCTAATGATTTGTTGGCGGATGTGAGTTTTTAATCATACTTTAAAAAGCTGATACTAATATATACTGCTATATACGTATCATAGCTAAAATACATTAAACAATTGAATAATACTAATAAATAGCATAATATTGATGTAAAAAAGATCGCTGTCAATCGATCTAACCTAAGTTTGAGCAGAAGCATTTTTTGTAATATACTTATTATGATAAATGTCATTTATTGTAATTTATTTGAATTATTTTTTATTTATTTTATTTATTTGAATTATTTATTTAAATTCATTAGAAGTAAAAGTTTGCATAGAGCACTTTCAAGAACATAATTCAGCAACTTTAATACGGTTATAAAAGACACAAATATATGTGTCTAATATAAACATATAGCTTATGTTAGGCCTAATATAGAGTTATCCATTTCTTAGCCCTCAATTTGCAAAACTGTTCTATTGATATATATTAATCGAAACTATCATTTAAGGCAATATATTTTCAGTTTAAGGTTTGCCATTTTATAATATTGATCATGAGATGTGTGAAGCAAACGCAGATTGGGTGTACGAACAATAGCGTTTGGATAACGATTTTTCGCATCATAATTTTTTCATTTTGGAGTGAAGTTAGAAGAACAAAATGAAGTTGCATGTTTCATTAATTTTTAAAAGTCGAAATTATCACTTACTGTAATAAATGACTAATTGGTTCCCTTAAACTATACTACAATAATTTATTCCCATTCATATTAATGTTTAATTGACTTTGGCCAAAAAATTATAAATAAAATCTGTTGAAAAGCTTATAAAATGCTAAATATTTTTGCTTTATTACACAACTTATAATTAAATTTAAATTGAATAATATTGAAATGTGTACGTTTAGTTATTTTTTATTATTCAATCCGCTTTTGCATTTAAAATGCCGTATTAATCATTAAATATGTAACTATGAATGACTTTATGTGGTCATATTTAAATAATTAATAGTTTCTTTAATTAAATTATGAATAATATGATTCTAAATTATAATTAACATTTTGAATAATACTTGAATTATGGCTAACACGCGTATAATAAACATTTCAATTTAAATAGTCGCAAATTTCCGGATTTCAATGAGAGAGATGTAAATTATGATAATTTGACTAAAAAATATACAAAAAAAATATTGTAGGTAGATTTTAAATATTAACTAAAGTACAGGATGTCAAAGAAAACCACTAAGAAAATTATAGTGTACTCGTCATCCGGATCTCATCCGCTTTAGTCTGTCGTACGATTTTGAGATTAATCCTGATGCTCCCACGAAGAATAATCTTTACCCGGTATATACTTACTTTCAGTGGTGTGCTCTTTACTTTTATTACCGTAATATTCTCTAGATACATATCTTCTTTGTTCGGACCATTGTACGATAGAAAAACCGATAGCGGTTTTCGTATTATATAATCCTTTAGAAACACGTACGTATTATTCTTTAATTTTTATGCAAGAATGGCTTGAATCTCTTGTGAGACGCGGCTTCCACTGTCTTCAATTCACTCATTGTGTCTCTCCTTCTTTACGCGTTGCCTCTTCTTTATAATCTACAAGAATTCCGACTGGTTTACTAATCGTTTCCTATTTTAAACATTTTTTGACAAAAAGCAAGCTTTAATTAGTCATTTATTACTTTTCCGATTAACACCCAATATTAGAATCCCCTTACAAATCGAGGTTTTTAGTGTAAAGTACAAATCATTTAACTTTACCAGTTTAAGTATACATGCTGGTTGCTGTTTTACAACGTAGCGTCCTTGGTTCCCTTTTATATGTTTTATTTACATTAGATAAACTTAAAAGTAATGGCCTTAATTATTTCTATTACAGCCTTATTAATTGATGACAGAGCAGTTTTACCTATGTCGGCATAAAATCCAGGACTACTTAATTTTTCTGGAAGGTTGGGTAGCATAAAGGTCTGTTAATCAGCAAAAATAGAGATACTCTCTTGTCATAAACATTAAATTGCTTTTCATTATATCAAGCATATAAAAACCTATTTATGGATTTACTCTATTGGAAATTTGTCACACATAAAAAAAATCTAAATGGAACTTAGACAAGTTTTTATATTGCACTAGCTACTCAACAGCGAATCTCCTTTAATCTCCTTAATACTAAACTGTGAAAACAAAAAGTTTTTATATATCATTAAGAATTGTACAATTGCTAAATCGGCCATAAACTAGATACAGATACAGATTATACTTGTGTTTCTAACTTATATTATATTTTCATAATTACGTTTTATATTTGCTCAAATAATAATTATTTCGTTTATTATTTACTTAACTGTTCTGAATTTATTTTTTCTTTAAGCTGGACTGAATGTATTTAAAACTTCCCAATTATGTATTCAATATTCAATGAAATCAAAAATGTTTCAAAATATGCATTCATAAATGTGAATTTTATTAACATTTTAGACTTTTCTTTAGACTTATATTAAATTTGCTAACTTGATATAAAACAGTATATACCATATTTACAGTGACGGTCTAAACATGTAGGACTTGGCCAATTAATAAAAGCAATAAGAAAATTGTGTTACTAGTTATTTCAATATTCGTATATTCAAACACTACTTTTCAATCATATCTAATTAAGATTTATTAAGTAACCAATTAAAAGAAACAATAATATTTACTTCATTTCAGCATATCCATAAAAGTCGCTTCAATTTCAAATTTATTCACTACTTTGTAGCATTCACACATTTTGGGGACCCACTAAAATGCATGGTTAAAGTTTATTTGAATCGAAAGACCAAAGTGCATTTGAATGTTATGTACGTGTGCACATGAAAGCTTAGCTTCAGCTGCAGTTTAACAATACATTAGGTGGGACCCTCATTTT